GGGAATAATCCGTTATAAAGAAGTAAATGGTCAGAGGCAGAGAGGAGCATTGTAGGAACAGTGCCCTGAGCCAGCGCGTGGACGGAAGAGCTGGCCTTAGCTAAAAGGGAGGGCAGAGGGACACGCTGTAGTGGCCCTGTCCCCTCAAAGAGACAAGACACCAGGTCACTGGCTACAGCAGGAGTCAGAGGTGCAGAATGCTCATGGGGAAAGAGAAGACACCACCCGGGCAGCTGAGGCCCCTCCGGGGAGGTCCCTGGTCAGTGTGGAGGGGTCTGCAGGTCTGCCCGGGAATGCCAAGGACCCGAGTAGGTAAGGAGGGATGTGAGGATCCTCAGCGGGAAGGGATATGACAGGGTCTCACAGGGACCCAGCATGGAGCTCTCCCTTTCACCTGTCCTTCTCCTCATGCCCGAGGGCTGCAATGCCCCCATGCGTTCCTCATCTCAGCACTGAGCTCGAGAACCACAGCATGTGCAAAGCACTTGAGGTAGGAGTGTGGCCACTAATTCCCCACACTGTCAGTTCTGTGGGGCAGAGGCCAAGACTCGGGGTCACCGACCAGTCCATCTGAGCACACAGTAGGCCCGCAATCAAAGTTTGTGGCAGGAATGGATTAATAAAGCATATGTGAGGCTGCAGCCGCCCTGGGGAGCCCACCTGACGCCTCTACAGCAGGCCCCACGCCTACAGTGGGCCAGCCTCTGCCCCTTACCTCAGTCACATCCACAAACTTGGGGTCCCCAAGCAGGGTCCTCTTGGCATAGGCAAACCGGAAAGCCTCTACGATGCGGTGGTACGTCAGGCCCTTCTGCTCCGGGGTCTCCACGCTCGCCCGGGAGAAGTTGTACCCTGGTTGATCAGAGCCAGGTGCACGTTGCTGAGCCCCAGAGGATCTGAGGGACTCAGAGGGTGAACACCTTCCTCAGCCACTTTGCCCACCTCAAGGAGCATTTAATAACCAATAGCAGCAGCTGCTTCAGAAGGCTGTGGTGAGAGTGAAGTAAGGTGAAGGCTCCTCAACCTGGATCTCACGTCACGTGTCAGCTCTGGCCACGCAATGACCAAGTGGCGGGGCCACCCACTGGACCAGGGATGCCCTCTGGACCAAGCCCTGCAGCCCTGAGCTCCTGTACCTCTCTCCGTCCTGATGACTCCTGTTCCTCCTCCAACCCTTGAGCATTGCCCACTTCAGCCCTGTGGCTCTGCACTGCCTCCTTCAGGACATGGTGAGCTGTGACACAGGAGCACTCCCTGGGAGCTCAGTGATGCAAAGACGTGGCATGGGGGCCAGCAGAGCTGCAGCAGGGGTGGGGCGTGTCATGGGTCCTACCACAGGGCTGTGGTGCGACCACTCACCTTTAAGGATGTTGAGGATGAGGGCCAGCACGGGCCCGCTGAGCGGCGCGCTGGGCATGTACAGCACCGCATCTCCCAGGCTGATGTTCAGCGGGTGCTCAATCAGCTCAGCGCGGTAGTTGTTCAGGTCCTCGGCTGTCACAATGCCCCCTGCAACGGGACAGCAGCTTGAATGGGCGCTGGGAAGGGGCTGCACCCTTGTGTGGAGGATGGAGCTGCACCAGTGGTGTTGGGGGCAGGCATGGCTGCACCATAGTGGTGGGGAAAAGCCTGAACCTACCAGGGAGGACACAGTGCACTACTGGAGGGGTGGGACTGTGCCCTGGGAGGGGGCCACAGGCAACCTCGCCCCCTTGGGAACCTCACTCGCTCTTGAACTCCTGTCTCCCTGACACTGCTCACCACCCCACAGCTGGGCTGGGGCCACCTGCCCTCTGCCTGCTTGGCTTACTGGCTTCCTGTCTGCCTTCTCTCCTCTGTGGCCAAACAGTGTTTTCTTTTCTCTTTTTTAGAGATAGGATCTTGCTCTGTCACCCAGGCTGGAGTGCAGTGGCTTAATCACAGCCTTGAACTCCTGGGCTCAAGTGATCCTCCAGCAGATCCTCCCCAGTAGCTGAGGCTAAAGGTGGCACCACCACGCCCAGCAAATTTTAATTTTTTTGTAGGGTCTTGCTATATTTCTTTTCAGTATGCTTTGAATTTTTTGTTTTCTGGTTCCCCAGCCCCACCCCCACTATATTTATGTAGAGTCTCAATATGTTTTTTGTAGTCTCACTATGTTGCCCAGGCTTGTCTTGGACTCCTGGCCTCAACTTCTACCTCAGCCTCCCAAAGTGTTGGGATTACAGGTGTGAGACACCAAGCTTGGCCTCAGAGGGCCTTTTCTATATTTCTTTTTATTTTTTTGAGATGGTGTCTCGTTCTGTCGCCCAGGCTGGACTGCAGTGGCTTGATCTCGGCTCAAGAGAGATTTTTAGTAGAGACAGGATTTCACCATGTTGGCTGGGCTGGTTTTGAACACCTGACCTCAGGTGATCCACCTGCCTCGGCCTCCCAAAGTGCTGGGATTACAGACGTGAGCCACCGCGCCCAGCTCAGAGGGCCTTTTCGAAGTGGAGAATTCCTGCTGGTGTCCCTGCCACTCAGCCTCTTCCCATGATGAATGGATAGAGGGAGGGAGGCTCTTAATTCTCCAGGAGTCAGCTCCAGACAGACAGGGTATTGGCATGCTAATTTCCAGCCTCAGTGGTAAAGGTCGACATGCTAATCACCCTCCTCCATGAAACAGTAACAAAAATTACCTGAAGAAAGTCACAGCCAAGCTCCAGACCCTTGCTCCACAAAGCCCCTTCCCCATGCCTCTCTCAAGGTGACCCTCATCCACATAACCCTCCTGGTGAATCAAAGCCCCGTCTCCCTGGGCCTTAGCCCAGCTCTTCCTCTGCCAGGAATCCCTTCCTCTCTCTGCCTAACAAAATTATCTGCAGCCCAGCCACCAACTCCTCCAAGAAGTCCTCCTGGATCTTCAGGTTGTATTCTAGTGCTTCCCTAGCCCTGGCTCTTGCTTGCACCTGCATTTACCCCACCAGGGACTTGCTCTCCTGGACTTTATGGTCTCTCTCAGTTTTGACACAAGCAGGAGCTGTGGACCCACATGGCCAGTCACTGACCCTCCTCCACCAGGAACTTGCTGCAGGCTCAGGCAGGACTGGTGGACCTCAAGGCTCTGGGCCACGGCTCAGGGTTTCTACTGCAGGGTTCCTCACCCCTGAGGTTATCCACTCACCAGCTGCCTGGATGTCCTTCACAATCTGGGCCGTGAGGCTGCCGTTGTAGAAGGCCTGAGCACCCTCGATGGCCAGCGTCTCGTAGGTGCCAGCCAGCCGCGGCAGGGTCAGTCTCTCCCCCTCCCGGAGCACCTTTCCATCCCGGCAGAACACCTCACTGGGGCAGAGGGGGCTCACGTGAGGAAGCAGGTGGGATGGACTCAGCTAGACCATCCCCTACACCCACCCACACAGGGGAATGGAGCAGAACAGGGGCAGCACCTGTCACAGGTGGGTGGCCCCATCACTCAGCGCTCGTCCTCCCAGTGTCCCTTCCAGGAGCCTCCTAGTGTCCCTTGCCACTCAGGACACACGACCAGCCACAGTGGCCACTGGGACCCCACCTCAGAATGTGTCCCCACACATGGTGGGAAGGGTCTGCATCTCCTCAGCCCATTATCAGTGCGGGGTCCTGAAGGCAGAGGGCCGCTCCACTGCTGCTAGGGGACTGCAGGGTCCTTGGGCTGTGCCTGCACTGCCTGTGTCAGGGGGCCGCACCCACAGACATACCACAAGACAGGCTGCTGCTCGATGACGGTCCGCTTGTTTTCCAGGGCTGCCGCCAAGCTCTTGCCCACGGGGAAGCCCTGGCGGGCCAGCTGGATGCTGGGCTGGAAGAGGCGAGCCCAGGGCAGCCGCCCATGCCGCTGGTGCGCCAGCTCATAGCCTCGGATCTCTCCGGGCACCGCCACCGACAGTCCCCCTGGGGAGAGAGAGCCACAGTTAGCAACCGTGAGTAGGGAACATCGGAATCTCTCACAGGTGGCATCCCAGGCACATTCCCTGACTCGTTTTACAGATGGGGCAAAGGTTTATGTAATCCCAACACTTTGGGAGGCTGACGCAGGCGGATCACGAGGTCAGGAGTTTGAGACCAGCCTGGGCAACATAGTGAAACCCTGTCTCTACTAAAAATACAAAAAATTAGCCGGGCATGGTGGTGGGTACCTGTAATCCCAGCTACTTGGGAGGCTGAGACAGGAGAATCGCTTGAACCCAGGAGGCGGCGGTTGCAGTGACAGGAGATTGCGCCACTGCACTCCAGCCTGGGCAACAAGAGCGAGAGGCCGTCTCAAAAAAAAAACAAAAACAAAAACAAAAAATCAAAGATTGAGTATGTTGCAGAAGACTCCAAAGAGTACCACCCAGGATCCCCACCTGAGATATAAGACTTGCTATGGTGAGTGTGCCCTGCCCCTCCATCCTCCAACTTTTTTTTTTTTTTGAGACAGTGTTTCACGCTTGTTGCCCAGGCTGCAGTGCAGTGGCACAATCTCGGCTCACTGCAACCTCCACCTCCCAGGCTCAAGTGATTCTCCTGCCTTAGCCTCATGAGTACCTGGGACTACAGGCATATGCCACCACACCCGGCTAATTTTTGTATTTTTAGTAGAGACAGTGTTTCACCATATTGGCCAGCCTGGTCTTGAACTCCTGACCTATGTGATCCACCCGCCTCAGTCTCCCAAGGTGCTGGGATTACAGGAGCGAGCCAACGCACCCAGTCTTTTTCTTTTCTTTTTTTTTGACAGGGTCTCGCTTTGTTGCCTAAACTAGAGTGCGGTGGTACAGTCATGGCGCACTGCAGCCTCAACCTCCTGTGCTCAAGTGATCCTCCCACCTCAGCCTCCCGAGTAGCTGGGACCATAGACACATACCACCACACCTGGCTAATTTTTTTTTTTTTTTCATTTTTTGTAGAGACGGAGTCTTGCTACGTTGCCCAGGCTGGTCTCAAACTCCTGGGCTCATGCAGTCCTCCTGACTTGGCCTCCTCAAGTACTAGGATTATAGGCGTGAGCTGTTGAGACGCTCCCATCCTCCAACTTTTATCCCACAATCTATTGTGCCTCCTTTGAGCAGTGTCCCTGGATAGACAGTGACTTCCCCTCAGGTACCTGGGGAATTTGGGGGCCTCTTCTCCACTGAAGACCAGATTAGAAAAGAGAGACTCCACCTCACACTCTAGAGCGCCATCCCCACAAATGAACAAATGAGTGAATGGGATGCCTGTTGAAAAGGCAGGGTATAGACAGTCTGGGGTCAATTTTAGCTTCACCACCTCCCAGCTGTGTGACCTCAGCTGATTTGCATGACCTCTCTGAGCCTCAGCATCCCCACCCTGTAAAATGGGAATCCACACAGCATCCTCTAACGCAAAGGAGCAGGGAGGGGTGTGAGGGGCTTGTGGGTGAAAAGCACGGAGCACAGCCTGGGCCCCAGTGAGCCCTTGTCCATGAGAGCTGCTAGCATAATAATTATTCTCTCCGTGTGCTGCACAGGGTGGCCCCGGAGGCCTCAGCAGAAATAACAGAAGCTCCCGGCCCTTTACCCTGGTGATGATGGTCCTGACTACTCACTGTGGGAGGATGCTATGGGGCCAGGAAGGGATGGGGGTGCTAGAACTGCCCCCGGACCCTGATGGGGCCAGGCTCCTGTGGGCAAGGCCCCTTCCCGGTGGCCCAGCCGGCTCTGCACCCACTCCCCAAGCCTGCAGGACCGCTTACCGTCTTGGGACTGCTCCGAGCTGTTGAACATGCTGGCAAAGGCCAGCCTGGGGGCCACCTCGCGGGCGTTGATGACCTCAGCTTTTCCTAGAAGGAGAAGCAAGTAGGCAGGCAGACCCATGCCGCGTGAGCCCAGGGACCACCCAGCTGTACCTTGGCCCAACCCACACCCCCTGCCCTTCTCCCTCGCCTCTCCCAAGGCACTCACGCGTGGTGCTGTTGTAGATGGTGAAAAATAGGCCTCCCCCGATGCCCATGCTGTGGGCATTCATGAGCCCCACACACAACAGGGCTGCAATGGCTGCATCCACCGCAGAGCCACCGTCCTGTAGTGCGTCCCTGCCATGTGGCACATAAAGACGTGAGAACCTGCAGGCTTCCATCCTGGCCCCACATTCACACCCTGCTGCCCACCTGCTTAACGGAGGATGGAAGAGAAGTCCATTCGAGTTTGGTTTTTTTTTTTTTTTTTTGAGATGGAGTCTCACTCTGTTGCCAGGCTGGAGTGCAGTGGCACAATCTTGGTTCACTGCAACCTCCGCCTCCCAGGTTCAAGTGATTCTCCTGCCTCAGCCTCCCGAGTAGCTGGGATTACAGGCACGCGCCACCACACCCAGCTAATTTTTGTATTTTTTAGTAGAGACGGGGCTTCACCTTGTTGGCCAGGATGGTCTCGATCTCTTGACCTCATGATCAGCCTGCCTTGGCCTCTTTTTTTTTTTTTTTTCTTGAGACATAGTTTCTCTTTGTTGCTCAGATTGGAGTGCAGGGGTGTGATCTCAGATCACTGTAGCCTCAATCTCCTGAGCTCAGTTGACCCTCCCATCTCAGCCTCCCAGGTAGCTGGGACTATGGGCACATGCCACCACGCCCGGCTAATTTTTTCTGTTTGTTTTGCTTTTTGTAGAGATGGGGTTTTGCCATGTTGCCGAGGCTGGTCGAGAACTCCTGGGCTCAAGTGATCCATGCACCTTAGCCTCTCAAAGTGCTGGCATTACAGATGTGAGTCACTGCATCTGGCCTTTGTTTTATGAGACAGAGTCTCACTTTGTCACCCAGGATGAAGTGCAGTGGCATAGTCCCGGCTCAATGCAGCCTCGACCTCCTGGGCTCAAGCAATCCTCCCACTTCAGCCTCCTGAGTAGCTGGGACTACAGGTAAAAACCACTGTTCTGGCAATTTTTTGTCTTTTTTGTAGAGACAGGGTCTCCCTATGTTGCCCAGGCTGATCTCGAACTCATGATCCAAAGCAATCCTATCACCTCAACCTCTCAAAGTGCTGGGATTACAGTTCCTCTTCTTCTTTCTTTCTTTTTTTTTTTTTTTTTTC